CAACGTAAAGAACAAGGAGTCTTCGAAGTGATGGTCTGGTTCCACAGAGCCCTGATCTCAACATCACTGAGTCTGTCTAAGATTATATGAAGAGACAGAATGATTTGAAGTAGCCTACATATAAAGAAGATATGTGGTTAGTTCTCCAACATCTTTGGAATAATCTACCTGCTACGTTCCTTCAAAAACTGTGTGCAAGTATACCTAGAAGCATTGATGCTGTTTTGAAAGCAAAAGGTGTTCACGCTAAATATTGATTTGATTTGTATTTCTCTTCTGTACATTTTCTTTCTATTTTGCTAATGTATAAAAAAAAATTATTAACACTTCTATTTCCGAAAGGATTCTTAATTTTTTCACACCTGTCTAAAACGTTTGAACAGTAGTGTATATACACTCTGGCCTTTTGAATGTTGAGAATAAAGGCACCTTTTGATCACCACCATAAAAACCTACACAGTGCTAGCCATAATTGAGTATTATCATTCTTCTGAAAAGTAAATTAAAATCTACATTACTTTTGAACTTGCCAGGGAGTGATCAATGAGCATGGAGATACTGCTTCCCTGAAATTTGTATACCTGTTTCTGCAATTGTGGCATAAAAAGCTGGAGTATTAAATCAAATTTAAAAAGGAAAAATATGGTATATATACACATAATAAAATAACACCATACTAACCCTAACCCTAGCGCCACCCTAACCTTAGCACTATGCTTACCTTAACCCTAGCACTATGCTAACCCTAATCCTAGCAGTATGCTAACCCTAACTCTAACCCTAGCAGTATGGTAACCCTAACCCTATGTTAACCCTAGCACTATGCTAACCCTATCTGTAGCAGTATGTTAGTTCTAACAATATGCTAACCCTTATCCTAACAGTATGCAAACTCTAACCCTATGTTAGCCTTCACCCTAACACTAACAGTATGCTAAACCTAACACTATGCTAACCTTAACACTATGCTAACCCTAACCCTTGTACTATGCTAACTCTATCCTTAACAGTAAGTTAAACCTAGCAGTTTGCTAACCATAACCACAGCAGTATGCTAACCCTAACCCTAGCACTATGCTAAACTAAAACCTTGCACTATGGTAACTCTAACCCTAATTCTAGCAGTATGTAATCCTAACACTATGCTAAGCTCTAGCACTATGCTAACCCTAACTCTAGCAGTATGCTAATTCTAACAATATGCTAACCCTAATCCTAATCGCAGTATGCTAACTCTAACCCTTTGCTAGCCCTAACACTAACAGTATGCTAAACCTAATACTATGCCAACCCCAACCCTAGCCCTATGCTATCTCTATCCCTAACAGTATGTTAATCCTAGCAGTATGCTAACCATAACCCTAGCACTATGCTAACCTTAACACTATGCTAGCCCTAGCACTAGCTAACCCTGACCCTAGCACTATGCTAACTCAATCCCTAACAGTACAGTATGTTAAACCTAGCAGTGTGCTAACCATAACCACATCAGTATGTTAACCCTAACCCTAGCACTATGCTAAACTCAAACCTTGCACTATGGTAACTCTAACCCTAATCCTAGCAGTATGTAACCCTAACACTATGCTAAGCCTAACCCTAGCACTATGCTAACCCTAACTCTAACAGTATGCTAACCCTAACCTAGCAAATTGCTAACCCTAACCCTAGCACTATGCTAACGCTAGCCCTAGCAGTATGCTAATCCTAAAGCATTTTTTTTTTTCTACTGAGCACCATTTTTTTTGAAGCAGCATTGCATAGAAGCCCCAAGTAAGGGACTCAGAGACTTCTGGGCAACTGAATAGTCTGCAAAGCAAATTAATGACAAAATTGGATGCACTTTATTGAAAAACAATCTTATTTAACATAGTATATTTCAACAGTTGTATTTGCAAGTCCTATGCCAATGTAATCTAGGGCAGCCAACTGAGACAATTTTTCGATTAAGCTCGATTAAGCACTGGAGACACATTTTCACTCAAAACTCATATACAAAAAAGAAGTGGTCAGGGTCAGGTTTTATTCAGTTGCAGTGCTACTTTGGAATTTATAAATTAAGCTGCAATTGTAAAGTAATTAATCTAATAATATTTCTAACTGCTCTTGTTTAATGCTGCCTTGTTGTACAACATAATGGATAAATATCCCATGGTAAGTTCACACCAGGTACAGCTGCTCATATGTGACTTTACCACACATTTGAATGGTTGCTCAGAATCTTTATCAGAGCATATCTTATGTTGCTGACCAAAGGGAACACACGTTATGTATGTCTTTTTGATTATTTTAATATATTTTACATGTATCAAGAAAATCACCAAGAAGTAGCAGACACCTATCTAGTCCTGGTCAAAAAATAACTCATGTTGAAAAAGCTCAATGGAAGTTTTTGTATGTTTGTGAGCCCTGCACCTGCAATTTTTAATATACAATGGGAACTGTTTATCTATCAAATATCTATGACAGATTTATGGAAAGTATATCATGTAAATCGCATGTCCAGATGCTGGAGATCTGTGCTTGAGAGGGCAAAGAAGGAGGGTGGAGAGGCATGTCCAGAGGTTGGGGATCAGTGCTTGAGAGATTCCAGAGAGGATCTGTACTTGAAAGGCCAGAGAATGAGGACAAAGAGGCATCTCCAGAAGCTGGTGATCAATGCTTGGGAGTACGGAGGAGGGCAAAGAGGGGTGTGCAGAAGTTGGGGATCAATGCTTAAGGGTGCAGAGGAGGGTGGAGAGGCATATCCAGAAGCTGGGTATCTGTGTTTCAGAGGGTGGAAGACGGAGAAGGGTGGAGAGATATGTCTAGAGGCTAAGGATCTGTGCTTCAGAGGGCAGAGGAGGAGGGCAGAGAAGGGGTGGATAGGCATGTCCACAAGCTGGGGATCTGTGCTTCAGAAGGCAGAGGAGGAGGGCAGAGAGGCGTGTCTAGAGTCTGGGGATCTGTGCTTCAGAGGGCAGAGAAGGAGGGCAGAGAGACGTGTCAAGAGGCTGGGGATCTGGGCTTCAGAGGCCAGAGGAGGAGGGCAGAGAGGCATGTCTAGAGGCTGGGGATCTGTGCTTCAGAGGGCAGAGAGGTGTGCTCAGAGGCTGGGGATCTTTGCTTCAGAGGCCAGAGGAGGCGCGCAGAGAGGCATATCTAGAGGCTGGGGATCTGTGCTTCAGAGGCCAGAGGAGGAGGGCAGAGAGGCATGTCCAGTGGCTGGGGATCTGTGCTTCAGAGGCCAGAGGGGGAGGGCAGAGAGGCATGTCTAGAGGCTGGGGATCTGTGCTTCAGAGGGCAGAGAGGTGTGCTCAGAGGCTGGGGATCTTTGCTTCAGAGGCCAGAGGAGGCTCGCAGAGAGGCATATCTAGAGGCTGGGGATCTGTGCTTCAGAGGCCAGAGGAGGAGGGCAGAGAGGCATGTCCAGAGGCTGGGGATCTGTGCTTCAGAGGCCAGAGGGGGAGGGCAGAGAGGTGTGTCTAGAGGCTGGGGATCTGTGCTTCAGAGGCCAGAGGAGGAGGGCAGAGAGGTGTATCTAGAGGCTGGGGATCTATGCTTCAGAGGGCAGAGGAGGAAGGCAGAGAGGCGTATCTAGAGGCTGGGGATCTGTGCTTCATAGGGCAGAGGAGGAGGGCAGAGAAGGGGGTGGAGAGGCATGTCCACAGGCTGGGGATCTGTGCTTCAGAGGGCAGAAAGGTGTGTTCAGAGGCTAGCAATCTGTGCTTCAAGAGTGGAGGCGGAGGGCAGGGAGGTGTGTTCAGTGGCTGGGGATCTGTGCTTCAAAGGGTGGAGAAGGAAGGTTGATAGGCACTTCCAGAGGCTGGGGATCCATGCTTGATATTGTGAAGGAGGGCAGAAAGGCTTGTCCAGAGGCTGGGGATCTGTGGTTTAGAGGGTGGAGAAGTATGTCCAGAGGATAGAGATCAATGCTTGAGAATGCGGATGAGGAGGGCGGAGAGTCGTGTCCAGAAGCTGAGCATCAATGCTTGAGAGTGCAGATGAGGAGGGTAGAGAGGTGTGTCCAGAGGCTGAACATCAATGCTTGAGAGTGCAGACAAGCATGCCCAGATGTATAGGTATGTATAGAGTGAAAGAATGAGGCAGGGATGTTTCATCCATTGATTAGCTTCCACAGGGCACAGCGAGGAGGATTTGAAGGGCTCATCTACTCGCAAGATGTATATGTGTGTTTGTTCATCTGCACATTCATCAGTGTATTTATCCGCGCATCTGCACATATGTAAAGTGGCAATAAACCCAAAAATGTAATATATTGCAGCTTACCAATCATTAGATGTGGTGGCTGCATCAGTTTTCTTGGTGTTTGGCTTTTTCCCCTGAGTTTTCACCTGATGACCTGGCCAGTAACACACCTCCTGTATTAGTGAGACACATCTTTGGAAGACTGAGCATAGGAGACACAGCAGACAGCAGCACTGTCAGTCTGGAGGAGGAGGGGGGGGGGGAGGTATATGGTAGTGTAAAATCAGATTTAAAACCACTAACAAAATGCAGACAAACTCCAGCTCACACTTCATAAGCAGTTACAGCAAACCGTTATTTTTTTCCTTTTGGGATAAAGCTTTTACATGAATAAACAAAAGCTGATAATTTTAACCGCTTCACATACACCCAAAGCCTATAAATGGCAGAAAGGAAGCAGTGCAGGTGCGGCCTAACGTACCTGTAAGTCAGCCTGCATCGGCGGATCCTCACAGACCACTCACAGAATACGCACCTGGGAGCCCAGTGAGCCATGTGGCACCCGTACACACTGGATCAAATTACCACTGTGTCTGGCTGATCACATGGAGTTGTACCATATGATTGCTGTGTCCAATCACAGAAATCACATAGTACACAATAGAAACCATTGCTGCAGCCTGTGAGTGTACAGCAGCCTGTCAGGCTGCATGTTCACTCACAGACTGCAGTTAGAACAATAAAAAATGCAGCCAGCCACTGTCACCTGTCCCAGAGCTCACAATTACATCATACCAATGTCCTGATTCCTGCCATACCAGCATACTGATCACCGCTATACCCCAAACCAGTGCCATAATCACCACCATACACCATCCCAGCATTCTGATCACCACCATAAGCAATACCAGCATCCTGATCACTGCCATACCCCATACTAGTGTTCTGGTCACCCCACATGCCAAACCAGTGTCCTGATCACAGCCATATCTTATACCAACATCCTGACCACTGCCATACCCCATACCAGCATTCTGATCACCTCATATGCCATACCGGCGTCTTGATCATAACCATACACTGTACCAGTGTCTGATCACCGTCATACCCCATACCAGCATTTTGATCACCCCACATGCCATACCAGTGTCCTGATCACTGCCATACCCCATACCAACATCCTGATCACTGCCATACCCTATACCAGCGTCCTGATCACTGCCAAGCATTATTCATACCAGTATCCTGATCATTGCCATACATCATACCAGCATCCGACATATTAGGTGTCATCTGATCAATTTTCAAATATATATCCCATAGTTTGTAGACTCTATAACTTTCACAAAGACTAAATAATATACACTGTTTTGGGTTAGTTTTGTTTAGCATACATTTTGGCCTTAATGAAGAAAGATTATTTATTTGCAAAATTTTATAACAAAAACTAAGCAAAAACATTTTGTTTTCAAAATTTTAGTTATTTTTACATTTTATAGCAAAAAATAAAAAATACAGTGGTGATTAAATACCACCTTAAGAAAGCTGTATCTGTCACAAAAAAAGATAAAACAATTCATATGGGTACAGTGTTGCATGACTGAGTAATTTTCACTCAAAGTGTGGCAGCGCTGAAAGCTAATAATTGGCCTGGACTGGAAGGGGATGAAGATGTCTAGAGTTGAAGTGGTTAATCACCCCTGCCAGTGTTAAAGTGTTGTCTCATCCTAGTAAACTGATACATTCTGCTTGCATTTTTGAAAAACAACAGACTTGCTGGCTGGTTCACAAATTAAAACAAAAGAAAGCCTAAAAAAGGACACAAATACAGCCATCACATCGAAGAATTGGTAAGCTGCAATATAATAAATGTTTGCTTTAGGGTTTAATGCAGCTTTGAAATGGCTCCCGATACAGCACAGGTGAGTGCTGTACTAATAAATCATCCCATGACAAATATAGCCTCTTGTTAAAAATGAACTCCCTAAATGGCATCAAACAATATCTGTGATTACTGCATAGTTTTGTTTTTTTTTTATTCTTAGACTGAAGTTCTTCTTCGAGTTCCTTCACTGTATATTTACTTTCATGTGTTGCTGGAGTCCACCAGAATTAAATTACTGTATGTCAAGTGAAATTTGTTTTAGCTAGTCTTGTAGCTTTTTATCCATTCAATACATTTTTATTTCAGAATTTTTAAAATAGAAACAATAGTTTGAGCATGTGTACATATGTGTACAATATACAGGTAACAGAAAAATCCAAGGTAAAGGGTAATACTAAAATTATAATTATCCATTTGCCCTTCTGAGGATTTACCCCCCTTCCTGACCAGGCCATTATATACAGCGTTACGGCATTGCGTTACTTTAACTGACAATTGCGCGGTCATGTAATTATGCACCCAAATGACATTTATGTCCTTTTTTCTCACGAATTGAGCTTTCTTTTGGTGGTATTTGATCGCCTGTGTGGTCTTTATTTTTGTGCTATAAAAAAAGTGACAATTTTGAGAAAAAAACAATATTTTTGACTTTTTGCCATTAAATATGTCCAGTAAAAAAATGTAAAACATCAAATTTCATCATAAATTTAGGCCAAAATGTATTCTGCTACATGTCTTTGCTAAAAAAAATTCCAATACATGTAAATTAATTGCTTTACGTGAAAGTAATATAGTGTTTACAAATGGCTGTATAGACACTGGAATTTTTTTTTCTACTAGTAATGGCAGCGATCAGCGACTTATTGCGGGACTGCGGCGGACATTCTGACACTAGGGGGAACTGACTTGGTGTCACTGATATTCCCAGTGACACCAATACAGTGATCAGTGCTAAAAAAAGCACTCACACTGTACTAATGGCACTGGGCAGGAAGGGGTTTACATGAGGGGTGATCAAAGGGTTAACTGTGTGCAGGGAGTGTTTTACTAGGGGGGCGGTGTGTTGGTGCTTCACTGTAAGCACACTGCTCTGTCCAGAGCAGTGCGCCTGAGCTGACAGGGAGAACTGTTTGTAAACAAAACAGTCCTCCTCTCCATTGAAGATGCTCGGTAATCACTGGGTGCCAGCGGGTAATCACCCACCGGAACCTGGTGATTGACAGCCGCGGGCACGAATTTCCCCATAACCAGAAATGCAAAATCACATATATACGTGATTTTGCACACCCATGCCACCCTGTAGGGAAGTGGTTAAACAGGATGGGATCCAAAGGATGTAGTGGAAGATGGACTGGTGGCATATAAGCAACATATAAACATCTTGATGTTATTTTGTATAAGTGATTGGCTGAATGCAGGTCCAGGGAAAATTTGGGCATGGTTCACTGTAATGCCTAGTACACACTATTAGAAAATTGGACTAAAAATACTACTTTAAGAGCAATTGTTCATGTTAGTGCACAGCTTTTGAGAGCCGATCATGACAGTTCATGCAAAGTTATCCGAAGGTACAAGCAAGAAAATTTTCTTGTACAATAGTAAAATCAAAGATTTTCGTGTAATCAGTGCTGAAGATGACCTGGCATCAGAAGCATCCCTGCGGTCTTACCCTCCAGGTCTGAGGGATGCTGAGCTTCTGTGCCATTTCAAGATGATGCTGCAGTCTGTACTGTCCTCTGCTACCTCCAAGCTTGCCGACCAACTTTCGCGTGAAATTCGACAGTTGGGAAATCGGACAAATGATCTTGAGGATAAAATGGACGCTGCGGCCACGGTCATTGAAGGTCAGAAGCAGGACTTGTGTGAACTCAAAAAAGAATTAGCGGACGCGCTGCTCCGACTTGAGGATTTCGAGAACCGTTCCCACCATGGCAATTTGCGGTTAAGGGGTATACCTGAACGGTCACAGATCTCACCTGCACCGCTACTGCTCTGTTTCAGGAGCTGATGCCTGCCATTCCCATCGAACGGCTTGAATTTGACTGCATTCATCGTGCATTGGGCCCAGACAACCGGATGGGCCCCCGAGGGACATTATCTTCAACTTCACTTACTACTGCACTAAGGAAACTATCCTCTTGGCGGCCAGAAGCAACCCAGACCTCAGATTCCAGGGACATCGCTACCAGCTCTTCGCGGACCTCTCCCAGACCACTCTGCAGAAGCGACGTCAGTTGAAGCCCTTCACTTCAGTCCTGGTGAACCACAGAATTAAATACGCCTGGGGCTTTCCGTTCCGCCTCACCTTCAACTACCAGGGCCGTCATTCTGTTGTTATGCCGGAGGAGGCCCATTCTCTCCTGGAATCTTTGCACCTTCTTTCGCCGGGTGCCGCTGCTCAGAGCCCGGCTCCGTCCAATGGATCCCCAGCGAGGCTGCTTTCACCGGGCCACCTCTGGGAGTGGTCGTCCAACAGGAAGAGGGCCCTCCCTCAGACCCCTCAATGATCAAGTCCGTCCTGCTCTTCTCCGGGCTGAGGATGCATCTTGGATCTCCTGCGTTGTGTTTCACCGTTGGACTTTCCTGATGGGACTGTGAGTTTGGCCCCTAGGGCTTTTCCAGTTTGTTAGCGTTCCAGGCTAGGCCTGATCCAGCCCATTTCCTTGGGTTCCATCACTGAATGGGGGGGGGGGGGGAGGGTCTCCTCCTGGACTCGTGGATTCTGACTTTTTGCTGTCCTGGCCTATCACGGGTCCAGGTGCCGTTGTTCGGGTTCCTGTTTGGGTATGGGGTGATGGTTCCCTCGGGCTCCGGGGTGGGAGGTTGGCCTGGTGGGCCTGATCGGGTGTTGACCCTATTAGGAGGTGGGTGGGGGACCACTTGGGCTGTGTAGTGGTTCTACGGTGGCCTGTAGCCTGGAGGGGGTTGGCCTCCTAGTTTAGCTGGGTTTTCTATCGGGAGGTTACTGCGGATGTGCTCACTTCTGGGACTCTTAGTTTATTACTTTGGTATCCTGTTATACTGTGTTTATTTTATATTGTAAGTCCTCCTGCGCTTCTATGGACCACCCCCCTTTTGCTAATTAAAGTTGCTTACACTTGCTTACACTCCAACTGATACCAAAAAACAGTGCTCAAATAAATATTACCTTAGTGTAGCGCTAAAAAACATATATAATATGAATAATCTTTATGTGAATAATAAAGTAAAATCTATTGACCTTGTGAGAAACCTCACAATGCCTATATCACACTAAGTGCTCTTCACACGTGTTGCTTAATTCATAAATAATATTCACAAATGTACATCATAATAGTGCTATTAAATATTTACCTATTAAATATTTTTTGTGATAATGCCACCTCAAATATACATATATCCTGTGATCGTGCCAAATCACTATAACCTAATCCAATATCAAATGTCCAAATAATAAAATCACAAACAATATAAGACGATAAAGTCCAGGTGATGCTTATATACACATGCAGTGTATTTTCATAGTGCCACTCGTGTAAAACACACTCTCCCACTTTGGCTGCAGTGCCTCCTCACCTCCTTTCAGCGACCCCTAGGGGCCCACAAGCCTCTAGGATCACCTTGGATCTTCAACACTCCTGGATGGTACCTCTCAGGCTATCCTCCTATTTGGCCTCCTCCACACCTTCACCTTTACGCCTTATGGAGTCCTCTACAGCGATCCTCTGTGGATTCTCACTCACATAATAGTGAGTTCAAAAAAGAGATCCTTCATAGTGTAATAGTTTCCAATTCAGCAAAAGTTTTTATTCATAAAAAAGTAACTTACATTGATGAACAGCGTTTTTTTTCTCCCTGCATGGGTAAACTGCACACATGTGTTACTTTGGAAAATGGCGTCCCGTACCGGAAGTGCGTCACTCCGGACACTGGAAACTGCGTCTCTGCGTGCCTACGCGTTACGTCACGTAACCTCGTGACTTCAGCGGGGTATCGCTATGGAGACGCAGATCTACTTTATACACCTTAGGAGGTGAATGTCCCTCCCCTTCATTTGCATGTACATGGCCGCCGCCATTTTCTTGAAGCCTACTCCCAGGGATTTCTATTATAATAACCACCTAGTGCATAAATCATTATGCTCTAACTATATACTATTAATAGATATCCACATCCTCCTCCTTTAAATCTATCATTCTAAACTATGCTGACATATATTAATAAAAAATTTATAGAATCCTTTATTAGTTTTTCATTAGATCGATATGTATAAAAACATTAAAAAATTAAAAAAAATATTTTATTAATTAAAAAATGTAAATATTTAAAATTGATACTCATAATTCTATTTTAATTTAAATACTTTCATCTATACACACCTCCTATCTGGGGAACTTTAATC